CTGTGAATACTATTTTTTATATCAGGAATGTTAAAAGCTCAAAACGAAATTCCTTTCTACTGTTGTGCGTCGAAAAGCGCAAGCGGCGCTTTATTCTTTGATTATTAGGGATTGATTGAATTGTGATGATTGCGGTAGATCTGTCTTGGACCATCGGCAATTCTGTGGCGTCCCCAATCTTCGGTCCTTGGCAATCTCAGAGATCGGGATTCCCCTTGGCTTTTGTGAACATCGGAACTCCAAGCATCACCCCATTTCCAGAGTATTAAAAACCTTTTTTCATTATTATATCTGTTCAGAATCCATGTCTATTGAGCCTACAAAAGAGTGGGAGTTACTAACATCCTTGATTTTAGAGCGTTAAATCAAAGACCAACATTTAATTGGAAATTTCAAAAAATATATTTCGGGAAGTGAGATAATAAAAATAAGAAAAAAACATTGATCATTTTAGTGTCACCAAAATCACCATGGTTAAAGCCACGAGTCAGGATTAGGTGACCATAGAAGGCCTTTCCATCACTAATATTTCCAGGAATGCGCTCAGAGGGGTGATGCCACACTCCTGACTCGAGATTGCGCGCCGTCAAGGCCTCTGGCCTACTACTTACAGCGATGGGGTTCGTTTCATCAGCTGGTCCCGCCCACCGCGGGATGTGGTGCGTGGCTGGCCTAACGTGTGAGATCAGCTAGGTTGATTGCCGTATCAACCGATGGAACGGCTGGCATATCCGGAAAACTCGTTTGGACGTGGCTCTCCCCCGAGCAAGCCTCCTTCACTGCTAGAAGGAAGGGGTTTCGATTTCGGTCTTGTCGACGGTTTCTTTGCGTTTTTTCTTCACTGTCGTTCCACCTCCCATCTCTACACTCAATTTCAGGCGCCATAATGCCCAAACACGAGCCTGACTTTTGCCTTTAACACGTTGGAGACACTCGTGCGTTGTGGGTTTTGGCGCCGCATGGGGCCCCGGCGATTTTGCATGCGCCGCCGCGCCACACCAAGATCCGTGGGGTTCAGGGCTTTAGTAAGCAACACGGTGGAGGCAGATAATTTTCATATGTGCGACTGTCTAAACTTTAGGCGGGAGTCACAGCAGTGGAAGATCGACTGAAATGACCTGTTAAAGCCACGAGAAGGTAAATATTACTCACTTTCCTTTAGTGGTTCCAGAATTTAATTTGGACGTGGTTGTTTCAGTAAAAACACATATCTTCCCATACGAATAGGTTTGTATTCGCTTCTGTTATTCCTTTTTATCAATCATGTTTACGTTAATGAAAAGAAAACGAGGAATGAACTGAACGATATATTCGTAAGGTCTGGAAATCCTCTGCCAAACTAAAGAATATTTGGCCTTTCTGTGAGCCATGTGGTTTTTTAAGTATGCTAATGTATGGCCTATAGAATGAGTACAAAGGACTTAGGAATAATTCGCGCAAGCGCAGAAAAAGGAGGGGCTGGGATGGGGACGCGTTACGCGGCATGTTCCCATGGATGTGTGCAAGGTGGGACGCGTTACCGCGTCACGCTGACGTCAACGCGTTAAAAGCAGATGATACGATAACTTAGTGGTTCATTAGAAATGAAAGAAGAGGTAGTAGAAGTACAGAGGTAGAGAGAGAAGAAAGGAAACGGCTCAAAAACCACACAGTGAGATCCGTTTTCCCGTTGAACTCTGCGTCACATCGGTTGTTGACATCAACAATGTTAAGCTCTGCCTGTCTTCCAAAAGGCTAGAGTCTGACTGAACGACCAGCCAGTCATCGGAGCGGTTAAAGACATTTCAGTTCCCAAGAAAGCGAGGGTAGCTTTCCATCAAACCTTCGGAGCAGGGTCGGTCCTATCGTTGCTACTTTTCAAAAAGTTTTTACGACCCCCCTCCCTCATGAAATGTTTCATACGACCCCCTCTTTCAAAACAATTTTTACCCCAAAAAATTACCGTCGAGCGGGGGGGGGGGTGTGCGCGAACCTTCCCTACACACCCCTAAAATATCATCTATTTTACCCATATTTCAAACTGCTCCGATTTTTCTAGGCAGATGGGGGGGGGGAGGGGCGAGCAAATTTTCTCCGGCGGCGGTATCTCCCCACTCACATGCATTCTTGCACCGGTAAGGCAGTAAGTACAGGCCGCCTCTCAGAACTTCATTCAAAAATTATCGAACGGCCCGCTGCTACTTGAGCACCCTTGCCACGGGCACCCTCCACTGCGAGAACACCACGTACTGTTTTCTTGTTTTCGTTTCGTCAGGTTCCCTCTACAGGCAAACTTCACAATAGAATTTATTGCTTCACCTACCTTATTGGTTGCTATAGCGAGCCTAGAGAAGCCTGATCACTAGATCGTGAACAGGTGAAGGAGTTCACCGGGTTAAATGTTCGATCCACCTCATTGTGACGATGGTACATGAAGTCAACGGCAACTGTCAGCAAGCCTAAGCTGACTGGTCCTTTCGGGATTTCTTTAGACTCGAAGAATTTACACAATCCCTGAACATTCTTGTTTCCCTTGATGTGTAGCAGGAATCTAGTGAGCTTGTTTCTTGTTTCGTTGTTTTTGATTCGATTTCCTATTTACAACGTACATGTCGCCGTTTGCTAGCATCATCGATCGTTTGTTTTTCTGACGGAATGCCCCATTTGTGGGTTACCCGTGTTATGTTACTTGTTGCTATGCTTGAAATATACAGCTTTCAGATAAAAATGAGGATACTGTTATTCTTATTAGCTACCATACAGCTGTGTTCTGCCGAGCTGAAGAAGGAGACGTGAGTTCAAATAATATAGAACAAACTGTGCTGTCGATTATCACAAGAATGCTGAGTTGTGGGCAAAACTTTCGCCCCAGCCGGGATTCGTACCCGGATCTCTTGCTTTCCGGGCAATTGTGCTACCAGTTACAAAACAAGCAAGAGGTGCGGGTACGAATCCCGGCTGGGGCGAAAGTTTTGCCCACAACTCAGCATTCTTGTGATAACTTTCGCAACGCGAACTGCGGCGTAAAACAGCAGTTATCCAATAAAAAAAAATGTGCCGTTTGTGTTTAGTTCCTTTTCATTGTTAATTTCATTCAGTTTGTCCTCTGTAAAGAGTAAAAAAGGTCCGATTAATTTGATTCGGTTCGGGGGTCAGTCCCAGCCTTACTAGAAGTTCTGCAAAAAGTTTACTCTATTTTCAGTATTCCTCGCACTGGGCCGTGTACAATGAACGACGACGGCATGCAAGGTACATTACAAGTTCAAGCTGTTTCATCAAGCTTATCAATTCACTGCTCGGCTAACACTTCAACGTCTGTCCTCGACTGTTCCACAATGAAGCAAAGTGCTTAACAAGATTATAAGATTAAGAAAGCGATTACGGTAAAGAGGGGAGGTGTCTGGGAAGTACAGGCGGTAGATGCGCCAATAGCGGTGCGCTGCAAGAAGCAAAAAATCGCTCACGACGAAAGTGCGCTGTCTTGTGAGCAGAGACTTCGGATAGCATCCGCGAAGGTTCAATTAGTGGTTTGAACCCTTGTGAGCTGGGGTGCAGCACGACACAACTTGGCAGGCACTCGGCTGCGAGAGCATGAATGGCATTTGGCCACCAAACGCTGAGTGCGGTAAATTTCCATACGTTCGCCATCTTAGCCGCCGCTCGTCTCCGAGCGAGGATCAACAACCAAATACGGGTCCTCTTTCCGCCTCTTCTTGACGGATTTCCTATGTTTTTTTCGCCCTGGCGTAGCTTTTTTGGCGCTCCACGTCCCCTGCAAACAACTCTAAAGCCTTTCGTAATCGTTGGCTTTAACCCACGACACGTTTTTTTTGATTTGAGTACCGCACTAGGTATCTGTTAAGAATTCGGACCCATCGTTCTCTGGGGTATCAACAAATGCACGAACACAGTTTCATGTGCATAATCGAGGCAAATAGGAATCAGTCTTATTGTAACTCATGCGCATGAAACACGAGGAGTTTGGTGAAAACAGGATCTACGCTCTCGCTCTGTCATCCCATGAAAGAGCTGTAGAAGCTCTCAGGTTGATTCGGGACCACATTTTTGGAATTACGTAACTCAGTTTGTCTCAATCAGGCTCATTTTGGTTTTGCTAGTCATCACCCTTACGGCCTCTTTCATTTCTGCCAAGCCCTGCTACCGCTACTTCTGGGAGCTCAAGCGTTTTTTTGTATGTGGTATATTTCAATGAAATTGATTTGGATACTGTACGAGGGATGTCAATGTGTGATGCTCGGGGCTGCTTTTGTGTAGCTGCTAACAACGGCCTCGTAGCTTTCGATACGCGCACAGCAAATAACATGACTTTGCCGAAATGCTCAAGTAAGTTGGCACTTCATTGGAAGAGGTCAGAACATTTGATTCGTACATGTCTCATTTGTTCAATGAGCCGAAATTCAAATAATCAGCAAATAATCAGCACCCAGCGAAGCGAGAATAGAAGGGAAAAGCACCGTACGTGATGGCACGTGCGACTACCGTCCAGGGCCGTAGTCGGATCACTGGATACGATCCCATACGACAAAAAGATACCATAAGGATCAGTTTCTGGGAACTTGCCTTGAGTTTGCCTATTCCTTATGCTACTCTAGTCTAACAGAGCTAGGAGGAATCTGTTAAATATCCTGAGCACCCTTCCTCTTGCATGTGGGCGTGTGATTAAAGAGACACGTGAGGATCTAATCTATTTTGTAACTACAGTTATACGAAAAAAGGCAGGAAATATTCAAAATAAGTTAAAGTGAATGGGGAAAGTGAACATTGTTCTCATTGGTGTTGGACGATAGTGGGAATCATCACGCTCTCAAAGAGCACCAGTCAATCAGTCATTCGTTATACCTGCTTTGACTCCCTGCTTGAGGAGTTCCTACAGCAAAATAAGGCCAGATTTTCTTTCCGAATCTTTTAACCCATTCGCGACAATGTCAGCCACCGGTGGCTGACGCGAAGATGTCCACTTCGGACCATGTCAGCCACCGGTGGCTGACGGGCTTTAAATGGAATTTTTGAAAACAAAAGGAGGTCTCTGGGAGATTTTCTTTGCTGTGAAGAATCTTCATACCCTCATCTATCTAGGCCACCCCTGGGCAGAGGAAATCTCTATCCACTAGAATTTTATTGAAGAAAAAATAATCCTGACTTCAAAAATTTTCACCGAAAAAGTTGAAATTTTTTTCCGCTGAAACTTTTCCCATGGGGGTTTTCGAGGGTCCTGATCTCAAATATGATATCCATTTTTGGCGCTGGCGCCAAATTGGCGCCATTTGGCGCCAGTTGGCGCCAAGGGTGTCTTCACCAAATTCGCTGTAAACTTGCGTATGGGGGTTATTTGAGGCCCTGATTACGAATATGACATTCGTTTAATCCTGGAGCTATTTAACACCTGTTTCCTGCTCGCCTGCACTATTGGATCAATCAGGACTAACAAGGGGGGTCGTTCAGATGTGGAAAAGCTTTTTCGAAACGGTTTTCTGTATGTTATGGGAGCTCATGCGTAGACTACGAAACCGAGGTCCATTTTCGCTGAGCAGCCCCGCGAAGGCCAAAAAAAGGTGAGGAAATGGTCCAAGGTTCAATCCCTCATGATGACAAATTTTTATGTTGGAGCTTCCAAATTTGCTCCAAAAAACGTCGAGAATAGATACAATATTCCATTATAAAGCCATAAGTACTAGTGCTTTCAGATTTCACGTATATGCAGGAACAAAAGTTTAAGGTAACTGAATCTAGCTCTAAATGGCCGACAACACCATGTTCTTCCATTTACAGTGCCTCCTGGAACCTTCGGCCAAATGCGATGTTATTCATGGGTATTTTGAGGTTACCATTGTTTATTAATTCTAAAATGATTGTTTCCTTATTGTTTCGATAGGTTTTTGATCCTGCCATTTGTTTTACGCCAGAGAGGCGCCAAATGGCGCCGTAGCGCAAATTGGCGTAGCAAGTGGCGTAAATTTTAGCAATCGGAAAAAATGAATGTCATATTCGTAATCAGGGTCTCAAATAACCCCTATATACAAGTTTACATCGAATTTGACGAAATTCAGTCAGGGCGCCATCTGGCGCCAAATGGCGCCAATTTGGCGCCAGCGCCAAAAATGAATCCCATAATCGTGATCAGGACCTTGATAACCTCTCTAGGATACGAATAAGTTTCAGCGTGAACTACGGATGATATATAGAAAAAACTAAAAAAAACAAGATGGATTTCCCCTGGGACAATGTCAGCCACCGGTGGCTGACATTGCGCAATCGCCTCTGCCGGCGCTGGTCCGAACGGGCAGTCTTCGAAAATCCCGCCCGGTCGCGAGTGGGTTAAAAAAGACATGTCGATTCTAATTTGGCAATCATATATTCTCCTACTTAATTTTTGTGAGACGATACGTGTTTAGAGTGCCACAACGCATTGAGAGATCTCTATATTGGTGGGGATGTGCCTCCTGGAACCTTCGTGCCAAAATGCGATGTTATTCTGGGTATGAGGTTAATCCATTGTTTATTAATTCTAACGGATTTTTTTATTGTTTTGGTAGTTTTTGTCTTGCCATTTTTTGTGCATTTTCGTTAGCTAACGCTCGGAATAATTTGAGATTTAGACTATGCATATGACTTGCCGAGAAGTTTAAGCTAGTAGCTTTCAGAAACTCTTCTTAATACCTTTTGTTCAGGCGATTTATGCAACGAATTTGCAATGGGCGCGAGGCAGGAGTTTGTTACTGTGTAGTACAAAACCGTAGCGAAAGCGAAGCACGCGCAAGAGAAAAGAAGGAAACAAATACATCACTTGTGGAAAGAACAGTGAGTAAAACTATCAAATGATATAAAAAGCGAAAAAGAAAAGAAAGAGAAGACAAGTAGGAAACTATTAACTGCTGATAAGCCATGGTAAATATACCACCGAAGCCAAGTTATAGGCACAGGTCGGCGTAGAATTGGTGGGTTATTTTGCTTGATAACTAGAAAAGAAATACAATGAGGAACGAGAGAAAGGCAAAAATCGCCCTAGGAAAACACTGGAATTTTCTTGACGACGTGGTACGACGGAGAGACACAGCGCTGCGAGGAGAGTGGCATCGCGAAAGAGCACGTTGTGCGCGAAAGCGCCAACCACGGCTGCAACAAGGCAAGCATACTCAGCCGCCGTTACTTCACACGTTTGAGTCGCCCTCCAGGGACGCTCTTTTCTATTTAGTAGGAACAATAATCTTCGGTACCATCTAACGTTGGTTTTAAGCAAGGTGCAGGCTAACCTCATTGGACTTCAGTCACTCTGCTGGAGCTGTGAGTGGTGCGAAGACGACTAATGCAGGGAAGATGCTAAGCGAATGGACTTTTTGATCAAATCCCTAAATCTATCAGTGGGTCCGCCCACCCTTTGAAATTTTATCTGCGCACGTGAGATGAGTCAGATGCTCTTCCTCCCCTTCTTACCCTCTACCCTCTCACTTTAACTCGCATCTCCCCTCCTGCTCTTGAACTTCTCCCCAGTAGAACAAGGAGGCTACATTAACTAGTACTTCTAGTATTATTTCAGTATTTCTTTATTTTTCATTGCAATCCAGCCTCCATTCGACTTCAGTCCCGTGAGGTGGAACTACCCAGGTATCCTTGAACGCCTGCCTTATTAAGGTTGACAATAATGTCCGATTGTGTAATCGGTGTAGCACACAGCTCCGGTAAAGCTTAATCGTGCTCGTTCCCGTGGTCCAGTTCCTTGAGCAAAGCCCGCCATAATTCACCATTGTTCGTGGAACAATTCAGCAACGGCGAACTGCGCGGCGGATAGAGGATAGTTCACAAAAATAAGTGAGACAACCGCTAGTAGAAAGAGCTCTTTGGATCAGTACCGTTACAAATGAGCTTGGATTATTTAGCCCTTCAACAGAATACTTTGTTAATGACGCCTTTGTCGCCCAAGGATTCATAGGTTACAGTGTGGAGATATCGGCTTGGGAAGCGAATATCCAAGTCATTTCTCCTATTCAAAGTTGAGGCTATTCCTATCAACCCGGGCTGACTTGGGTGCAAAATCTTCGCATCGGTCTGAAGCAATCCTTTAGGTTGTATCTGCATTATTACAAGTGAGACTTACTCAATCCGTTTGTCTGTCGTTGCTTGTTCCGCGCTCGAGTCGTAAATCTCATACTATACTAGAGATTCAGTACACAAGGAGTTATGACTTCGAGCCGTAACAACCAGAACAGTCTGCACAACCAAACCCTGTATGGGATGCGCTACGCATTCCACATTTTCTTGATTGTGTTGGCATATGCATACTGCAGTTTGGTCTATAGAATGTCTAATGGGATCGGGCAGTTGTAAAGATGTGTTTTTATTTTCTCGAGAGCACTCAAGTGGTGGAAAAGGAGGAAACTGTTGAATGATCTGAACGATCAGGGATCTAAATTATTTTCGATAGACATTGTTTCAGACATTTCGACAACCTTTTCGCAACTTCCCATCACTGAAGGATCGCCACTTTTCCAAGAGCGTTATCCGGTTGCAAGAGAGACGTGCAAACTGGACAGAAGTAAAGGTTGGGCTTGTCAAGATCAAAAGCCCTCCGCGTTACGGTGTGGTATAACCGCTTTGTTTTCTTTTCTTGCTTAATTATATGAACGGTTGAACTATTATAAATCAGATTGCACTTTGGCGTGAAAACAATAATGAAAATAATCAGTTCAACATCGATAGTTTCTTCCGCACAATGCACATCGGATCTGTTCATTAGTCGGCCAACCAGCAATGCTTTGAACTGACTTACTTTACGCTATTTCACCTATTCTAAGCACGTTGAAAGGACTGCTGGGTGTTGAACTTAACCCATTCGCGACCGCGCAGGATTGCGCAATAGCAGCAGCGTCAGGAGATTTTTCTTCAATAAAATCCGAGTGAAGGGAGATTTCCTCTGCCCAGGGCTGGCGTAGATGAGCGAGGGTATGAAGATTCTTTCCATGGAAGAAAACTTTCCAAATTCCATTTCAAGCCCTGCAGCCACAGTAATACCATTGTCCCGAGTGAGAGCTTTGTCAGCCACCGGTGGCTGACATTGTCACGAATGGGTTAAGAATGGGAAGAAAGTGCCATAGTTTAGAACAATTAGTCAAGTAAATGATTGTGCATAGGAGGGATAAAAAGTCAGGTAATCAGAAAACATTTTAATTGGTTCAGTGTCTCTTCTTTGGCTTTTTTGGGATACCAACGTGGATTTGTTCGAAATTGTAGCGATTACAGTACTATTTCGACTATCGCACATTCGCGTGCCTGGCATTCGAGTATCTCGGCTGTGGTGGGAATGAGAACAATTATCCGACTTCTTCGGCTTGTAGTTCGGATTTGTAAGCTACGGGACGCACTTCTATTCCTCCTGCTTTGCGAATATTATTATCATTCGTTCTTCAGTGTTTATCAACAATCTATTGTTGCTCTATTTGTCAACAATTTTTCAGCGGATCTGTCTGGTTGCTCCGGTATGTATCCACCGGCTCGATACTCAAATGGGCAAGCAATACTCTGTGGCGCTGGTCCTCAAATGATGTTCCATGGTGGTACCGTTCCTCATCTTCACAACACTTATTGAGATTGTTGTCAGCGATATTAGCTGGCGTGTGAACCGTCGAGGACTTTTTCATGGCTCTGTACCTTGAGCAGTGGTGCGGAGGTGCAGACGTTAAGCGCGCACGAGAGCACTTACGGCCTCCCCAGCATGTCGAATGTTTGAGCGGTCGCCGCAAGGAATCGTAGTGTGATCAGCAACAATTCCTCGACGTCGCGAGGAATCCGCAACCGATATTCACACTGATAACGAGAGCTTCCGCGTCAGATAAGTGGAATAAAAACCGATGAAAATGACAATGGTGGTGCGTCTTGAGTTTGAGCTTTGCCTACAAATTCTATGTGTGCAAAAATATTAGTTGATGTTTTTTCACTTAAACCATGTGAGTCCGAAATAAGGGAGTGCGATGAGGTTGAAAAGAAACGCTGATGAACGTAAGCTTAACTCAAAGGCAATGCCAAAGTACAATGTTAAGAAGGTATTGTCAATGATATTTATCGCGAGTTCTATTGTGTCTGGGAGACTAAGGTCCCGCTGCTGATGTGCGGAAGAGCGGAAATACTGTTTGCGAGGCCGCTTGATTCTGGACCCAACTTGCGGTGGGTGCTGGTTAAAACGTCGACTCAGACAATGAGACCACGTCAACAGAATCAGAATTCTCTCGGCTCTGACGAACAAGACGACCATTCTTGTGTGAAGGTTATAATGTTGGTGGACAGGTATGCTAGCCGGGCATGGCTACGGATATGGTGCCGAACGTGTGAAGCAGCGGCGACTGGAGAACAGGAGGAGAGTTTATAGACCGATTGACAAACAACTTCGGCATGGAGGGTGCAATTAATATGTATAGCCACAAATTATGGAGGGTCAGAACGACTTTGTGGATTTCGAAAAAGATTGTGAGCATGAGCTTCAGCAAGAAATAGCGGATGCGTTGAAAAGGGTAGCGTCAAAGAGGACACATGGCCCCTCCGTCGAAAGTTCTGTGCCTATGTCGAACTTAATGCCTCCTACAGGCACACTATCGCCGAGAGCAATTAAAAGGCTAATGGAATATATTAGTCGAGCATGATGCGGATTCGCCCAGCTTGCATCCCTCAGAACCTGCTAGAGTCCAAGTTAGGCAGTTGGTAAGTTCTTCAATTTGTAATCAGCGTTCTCTTAAACAGACGGCTGTAATATCTCCATTCAAAATTCCATGGGAGCTTCAACCCCTTCCCGCTTGGCAAAGTTGTCGCGCACCAAACTCCTCGTGTGACTGCAGGCGATTGATACGTATCCCTTCTACCATACCGCTGAAAGTAATTGTACATTTCGTGACATTTTGTCAGTGAAGGTACAGTACCTTTAGTCAAAGCTACTTCATCAAAAGTATTGGAATATTTCAGTAAGCAGCTGAATTTAGCAAATAGTCAAATTAGTCTCATTGAATCTTTGTCTTAGGCACGACGCCCTCTCCAAAAATCACCCCGAAACTCAATGAAGACGGTTGTCCTTTGGACCACAAGTGCGTCATGGGTGCATTTTTCGGATTCTGCTGCAACCGAGCCAACGAAGGTGAGTCAGAAGTTTAGACGAAGGTCTCATGCTACAACAAGCGACCGATGCGAAGTCAGAAAACTTTTCTAACTTCATCTTCTCAAAGTTTTCGTCTAGCTTCATAGTAATATTATAGTTCACAAGACAAAATGTTCAGATCGATTCAATGTTGCTTATCATCCGAAATGCAACAATAGTCGTGAGCCATACTCGGAAGCGATGGATTCGTGGCGGGAGATCCGATTCGGGAAGTCGTGTAAGGATAACTTCTGTCCTTCAGGATATAAGTGCCATGATGCCGACATCTTCGCTTATTGTTGCTGAACCAAATATGTATATATTGGCGAATGATCATCTTCAAGCATCTCAGAAACTTCTATGGAAATGAAAATAATGAATCTCTATAAAACTTTGTGTATCCAAGATATATTCAAAGGTACGATTTGCTTTAGGGCTGAAATAAACCTAAGTGGTATAAGTAGCGAACCTATCCCTGCTATTGCATAGAAGATACCAATCCCACCACCTATTCTTGGTTAATCACTCACCGTTTACCACCTAATAATATCCTTTGGTCAAAGAATGGTAGAATTGCATAGTTGGGAGACAGGCGGACCTCCTGAGGGTGCTGACCGACGCGCAATTGGCAGCGAAAGATTTGACCTCGGCGATCTAGCATGGCTCACTCTTGGCGCGGTTGGCGGGGTACGCCCACCGACTATCTAATCACTCGCCGCAGGTCTATACGTGGCGAGTGATTAGATAGCAGAGAGAGCGTAGTGTTGAAGAGGGCACAGCGATGAGAGTCGCATCAATGCGCAAATCAACGGGCAAGGAAGGGGTCCCATTTCTCGGGTTTCGGGCCGTTTCAAATGGTTTCTTCTGCTCCACTGACCACCTCTACCCTTATTTCCAATGAGCTAACTTTTCATCGCAAATTCCGGCGAGGGAGTGGTTTTGTTGCGACGTGAGAACACCCTTCAGAAGATTCTCTCTCAATGTGGTTCACTCAAAGGCAAAGTCCGGTATCGTACTGATGTATAGTTGGGGTAGTATGTAAGAGTGGGGATGTGAAGTTTAACTGCAGTAATAAAAGGAAACGGAAAGAAACCGTCTACAAGGACGACGATGAAGCCTCCTTCGCTTCCTCTCAAAGTCGCAGCGTAGCGAAATAGCACTGATTCGCAGGCGGGGCTTTATGACGATGAGCGCAGCTTATGGTGAATCCTTGGACCATGGCGCTCAGCCTTGATAAGTCGTGACGCCAAGAGTGTACATGCTCCGCGCATATCCCCTCTTGGCCCCACTCCATATACATATCCGCGCGCAGAGGTGCATTTTAACTGGACTCTCGGCACTTTGCGCTCAAATACGAGTAGTGGAGCCACAATGAAGAATTGCCGAGGGAAAATCGTTCAGTTAACTAATTTCTTAAACTCCAACTTCTTCAACTCCCTGGATATTTCAGCAGAGAAACGACAGTATTGAAGCCATTCTGTAGAATCTATGTCTGTGAGACGGTATCAATTTAATTTTGACTTTTTCTGGTTGCTAACTGCTGGCTTACCGCCGCAGCTCGCTTTGCTAATGCTTCAAGAATGCTGGGTTATGAACAGAACTTCGACCCCACGAGGGATTCAAATCCGCAAGGGCAAGGGCGTTACGTCGTTACCATTTCAGGTTGATCTGATGGTCCTTCTCAAGAAATGCTCCCGATACACTAAACAGAATGCAGATCGTAGGCGTATCAGTTTTGATTCCAAGCACGAGAGCCTACCTTTTCGTGCGCACACTTCACGCTCTCTACAGTTGCCGTTCTATGTACTTACAGGGCGAAAACCTTGCGTTGAAGATGTGTATGGTCAGCAGAGTTTATTTTAGTGTAAACATGATATCATGATGAATTGGAAGTCAACTGTAACATGGGCCTGCGATTTCGCTTCAGCCTTTGTCTCCCCCCCCCCGCCCTCCAGTTGAACGGACGCTCCGAAGTCTAAAAACTATGCGTGAGATTATCAGGACATCGGGCTGAAAAACGCTTGCGCTGTGGAAAACTTCCTATTCATGTTCTTTGACTTGTTTTTAACGACAATGCTTGTTTTCATCAGTTCGCTACTTTGATTTATTGCGATCAGACGTCGTCGGACGTAATCGTTCTTCAGTACCTGTTTGTTTTTGTTTCACGTATTTCATATTGGTTGCATGCAATAAAATATTGATGAAAGTTTGATGGTGTATTTGAAGAAAGGTAATTTTTGCTATGTTCTCATAGGAAATCCTTGCTTTCAGCAATTTTCTCCTACAATAAGTCGAAGAATCAAATTTCTCAATGCCCTGCCCACATGCAGCGAAAGCTATTTGAAATTAAGCAATAGCTTTTTTAAACTAAGTTTTGACATAGGAAGGCTACATACGCACTCAGGCTGCAGTAGATTAAGACAGTAACGGCACAAGATTGTTCAGCAGAGAACGTTTACAACAGAGTTTTGACCATCAACATTGTCACTTACGGTCGCAGTAGGAACTGTGGGCGAAAGCCTTTATGTTCTTCTTTGATTAAGGCTAATTTCTGCAAAGAAGGGACAGACGAAAACGCACGACGTTTCGTGTGGATATTGTTGGGATTTTTTTCCTTAATCACATTCTTCTCTTTATATCATACTCTAACTACTGCAGGATAACAAGCTTAAAGCAGGTAGCACACGCCTCTTCTCGATTCAAGGTTCTGGAGGGTGAGCAGGCGACTTAAACTGTAACAGCCAGCATAAGTCGAACTTTCTCCAATTACAAAACTTATCAGATTGCTGCAACGTCGGTTCATTTCCAGGAAGTTTTTCTACTCTAGCACTACAGCCGCTGCTAGGCGCCTATAGTGGGGGCACTATGGAAAGTGTTATACGACAAGCATGGTATTCTAAATATTAGGTCGGTCCATAATTTTTGAGAACCTTTGGTGTTTTTCGATTCAATTACTTATCTTATTTCTCTGATGTACTTATTCAGCATAGTATACATCACCATTATTACCAACATATAACCAATGCGAGGGTGGGTATTCAGTGTCCCTCTTGTAGAATTTCATAGAGTTCTGATCGAAGAAATATTGGATGTCGATTTTGACTTTATGGTGATTCAAGTGAGATTTCTTCTCCAGAAGGTGATTGAGAGAGGAGAGCGGATAGTCGTTCGTTGACGCAGGATTAGTGCTACAAGGCGGAGCTAAAAGAACTGACCGCCCGAGAGTCTCCAATTTTTTAGGAATTTTCTTAGCAAGGCGGGCTCGAACGACCTCAGAAAAATAGATTTTGTCTTCCTTTGCTTTCAAGTTGAAGGCGTTGCCATCAAGCTGTCAACGATTCTTCCCATCACTGACACTGGTATTAGTTGATGCCGGTCTCAGCGCAAAGGCCCTCCCGTATTGCGCCAACGACTCAGGAAGTTCGAATTCAGAGGGAGTTGGGTTTTACTGTCAGAACTCCCGAATCGTTTGAGCAAATCTACTGCGGCTCGTGGATTTGTTAGCACATTGCACCCAGTCCACATCACCAATGAGTATTATAGATGGTCATCCGAAGGAACTATGGAAACCAACAGGAACTTGATGATGTCAGATTGGGTTGAGAACTGATTCGGGACTACAATTTTCCTTCGATCAGAACTCTATGAAAGTCCACAAGAGAGGCACTGAATACCCACCCTCGCATTGGTGATATGTTGTTAATAATAATGATGTATACTATGCTGGATAAGTAGATCAGAGAAATAAGATAAGTAATAAATCGAAAAACACCAAAGGTTCTCAAAAATTGTGGACCGACCTAATATTAATGGACGTTGAAGCTCGAGATGTTCAAGCGCCCCGGCTAGCTTCTTCCTGCTCCAAAAAGAGGTTACCTATGGTGCATCGCACTTATTCACCAAATATCCCTGTTCAGTGTTGATGCGCCACCCTCTTTTTCAAATGTTCATCGAAAAAGGATGAAAGGATAAAGCATTTGCCGTTGATCAATCCCTTTTGGGATGCGGCACGCATTCTACTTCCATTTGTACATTCGCAGTGGCTTTTGAATGCGATGTGGCCTATACAATGACTTGCGGGGGCCAGCCGATGTACAAGTCAGTGTTTTTATCCTCCCAGACAAGTCTGGTACCAATTAACCGACCCCGGAGGGATGGAAGGCTTGGTTGGCCCGGGCGACTCACGACCCAGGATTTGATCCCCGGACCGCTCGCGTGGTGAGCGCGCCACTTGTCACTACACCACTTCCGCCCTTTATCGGATATTCTCCGAAAAATCCTTCGACGACGAATCCTATTGTTCGGAGTTCTGCATTCATTGAAGGCAATAGGGTGAGCGGACCAGAAATCTCTTAAAAGGATCTTGCGCGGAAAATTCTTGCACTCTTTCCTAACATGAATATGTCAGTTGTGATCACTGGAAATAGCACACAAAGTTTCACGCATGAAGATTCGGTTTCTGAAGAGAAACAAACGTACAAAAACTACACGTTATGGACCATCGAAGGACCAGGAGGCAGAGCCAGGCGAGGCATGGAAAGAAGACGGCGTTTGGCCGGCTACGTACCAGGCGACGCAATGAGAGAATCGGGTTAAAGCGCGCGATTTCGGAGAGTGGAGACAAATCGATCGATGGAATAGGATGGAGTAGAAGTGTAAGATGTGAATGCAACGAAGCAGAAGGCCAGAAAGAGCTTCTAGTGAATGCACTCCAAGAACCAAGTTTGAGCATCCCCGTCGCCAGCATTCGTGAAAGACGTCCGTGGGCAATTCGAACGCGTAGCAGCCTTTTCGAGTTTTCGAATTTCTAATCAAAACGAAAGCAATACTTCAGTTCTTTTCACTATTATCGTGGATAATGAGTCTCAAGCCAGTGATTTATGGCTGAAATAGAATCATGATTTTTCCGCGCAAGATTCCTTTAATGACAAAATATCGAAATAGGATTTGAATGCTGCTTCTGTGTTATACAGTGACCTGAAGAAGAATGCAAATAACCCCTCCAACTTCAATGTGTAGTCCATGTCGCCATCAAAAACTGCCACGATTCCGCGTACACTCTGCGAGATGGAATGCGGAGCGAATTCTAAAGGATTCAGTAACGCGTGGTGAATTCTGGAAGATTCAGTGTGCACTCTATCCTTTT